AAAGGTAGGCTTTAAGCTGCATTGTTGTGACATTGTGATAGAATTCGTAAGGTGACTAATTAAGCTTCTTAGACAAGAATTCAAGAACTGGATGTCCAATCCACATGAGTGGGCGTTTACTCCGAATCATGACGAGGTATTTATCCAGTGGCAGTTCGATCAGCCAGAAGTGTTCAAGCAGTTCTCAGTGCTGTGTGACAGTAATCTGTCCCAGGGCTACAGCAAGGCGGAATTCATACAAACGAATCACAAGACAGCATTGTTCAAGGGTTACTTAGACACTACAGTGCCAAAAGACGGCCGCGTGCAACATTCTGGGTTTGCGTCATTTCTCTCAAAACGTAAACATGTATGTAGTTTTCTTCTCTTCTTCCGTTTACTTCACTTTGACGTTCCGTTTCAGAAAGCCTTCTATCGACGTGATTATTACAACCTCTGGTCCAGGTTCACCCATCTCATTCTGAAAGTACGCGGTGACGGTCGCATTTATCTTCTGAACCTTGGCACTCCAGGCTCCTTTGATATCACTTCACATGATGTCTATAATTATCCCCTTTATACACACGGAGGGCCATACTGGCAGTACGAAAAGGTATGTTTAGTCATGCTGCCTAATAAAGAGACAGTACTGATGCGCCGGAAATGAGTTACCTATAAAGATAGTATTATATATTAATTTTTTTTGAAAGAAAGGCAAGGCTCACCATAGACTGTGGATGATTATTCGAGAAAACGTTGAACTCAGAACCGAAACATCCGGCATTCAAGCCCTTGTCGGGTAACTGGCTTGTCTTCCTTTAGTTGTAGATAAACAAGTACAACTCTTTTGGAAAGAAATCGAAGAGTGCAAGATATAATTTGCATGACTCTACCCTCTGCCAGTAAAACAGGGCACTCCTGGTTGATGGCACTGAAACGGATGCCAAGACCAATTATAAAGACACTGTATCAAATGGTTTCTAATCATGGAAACTGAAGGCAGACCGACACCACAACGGTTACAGACTTTGCTTTCCTGTTCATTCGAGCTAGGGAAAAGTAATGTCAGCATAAGCAAGAGCGTATTTTACAATTAAGGGAAGTGAACGGCAACTTCATTCTTGAATATCCACTTTTCTTATCCCGGTAGCGCCCTCTTATAGTTGAGTTTCTGGTTTCATCTGAAATTCTACTGCCGTACGTTGCTTCAAGGCTTCGCAACTCCACAATAAGCGATGGCATGTCTAAATTGAGTAGGTAGCACAAACCTTCCTGAATTGCATGATTATCCAAAAGCTACGTGTTAAATACATATTTAATTTTTGAACGTCTTAGATATAACTTGTTATTGGGTTATATTTAATTTGTTTCGGTTCGGTTATGAATTTCCACACTGAACGTGTAGGAGCTTAATCATGTGTTTCGCTTAACATTTCAGTCTCCATATCTCAGCGGAAAGAACACATGGTCGAATCATGGTCAAGGTCACTAGCTTTCTCCAAAAATGCACTGTTTAAATTTTTAATTGATTTTCTTGCATTCACTCACTCATTTATCTGACTTTTGCGGATTTGCATGACATATGCTTAGATTATTTCTTTTAGATATCTTGTAAACGTGTTAAACAGGTCATATTTCCACTGCATTAGAGAACATGTGGTGCGTGGCTATAATGTAACATTAGAATGCTGACTAATTGAAACATCAGTTAAATTCCTTTGATATGTTTTCTTGCGAATAATCGTTCGAGTACTATATGAAGTCCTATTGTCATAATTTACTTTCCAAATTTGAACATGCCCGAAATGTTACGCAACACAGCAGTTCAAGCAGTGGTCGATTGTGCGTCGCTCTCTCTAGGTGAACTGACTTCGAGATGTGATTTAGGTAGAATAAGAGAATCTCCTACTGCGCAGTCTTTTTGCAAGTCACACGACAGATGGCTCTAGCGCAGATGGTCAGGATAACTCAATTGAGTAAAGGTATAGTTATCTTCGTCCGTGGAGCTTACCCGATTGGCATAGATTTGTAAAAGTAGAAGCTCTGTTCTGAAGCAGTGTTCCACGAATCCAAGTAACAGCAGAATGAAAGTCATATTCTCACAACAGTACATATCAACCTTAAATATTCGTCAGTTGATAGTCGTGCGGATCAGTGTCTATTCGTTACTTCGATATCCAGCGTTGCAAGGCGATTTAACTTCATCAGTTCAGAAATCTCCTGAAACTCCGCAGTTGGAATCCATGAAATCGCCCTGAAACACTTTTGGCATCATGGAAACGTCAGGTGGCTAAGACATGTTGGCCAAAGTGGAATGACGAACAGTAAGCGCCGATAGAGTAGAGAACTGGAGTGGTATTACCCTAGCTCAAGAATACCATAGAGATTGTTCCAGTTATCGCGGCAATAGCAATGCACTGTACTCATTACTGGTTTGCCTGGAGATTCTGTTGATTTACTGCGAATGGTGTGTAGTCGTAAAATTACCGGTCTTTTTTTGATTGAGCAGATGTATGATAGATACATAAATTCTGTCACGATATTGTTTTGGATATTTTGACACGAATTAAAGGTTTTGGCAGTTGCTATCTCTGCAGACCTTCTTATCTAGGAAAAAGAGACTTTATGCCGTTTTTCCTCACGACTGTTAGTAGTTTCGCAGAGAGGGTACCTCTGATTAGTTTCATAGATGCAAATGTCAGCGTCAATTCCTGAACTCTGTGGAAATAGGGTTTAAAACAGACTCGTCATGTAAGTTTCTAAAAGAGGGCCATTTTAACGGTTAAGGCGTTTGCTGTCCTTTTCTTTCGACACCATCATCCAGGAATGTGTTATTTTTGTATTCATTTTGTTCATCGAAATAAAATCAAGGGGGAAAACCACATTCCAAATTGAATCTCTATTCCGAGTTGTGTTAGTATCGCATGGATAGTTGTCGTAATACGGTTCAAATAGTTCACTACTTTTCATCTCTTTTGTCTTACAGTTTATCTCTTTTTGTAGATTCCGTTTTCAAAATTTTATTGTTCGGTCCATGCGCGAATACAGGATCGCCAGAGTCCAGTGACGGGTGAGAAAAGGAAGGCGGATAAGAACAACCGCATAAGCTCGTTCGGAGTAACACTCATTGACCACAACGATGGCCCTTTCGAGTTGGAACTCGCTTGGGTCGGAGTGTATAATGATGCAACGCACTTCGAGGAATTTGCCTACGAAATGTACGATTATCCAATAAATATCGATTAATGTCTTGTGCTTTTCCCTCGATTTCGCCTATTAAACTTTAACGGTTGTCCGTATGGTTTTTGTTCGTTGTTTCGGTTGTTTCGATGCTCTGAGGGGTTACTAAATTTTTAATTCTTCTGTTTGCATTTATCAGTATGCCTTACAGAAAGTCTAGCATTGATGAATGAATGAAAAATCGTTGAATGAGTTATTACGCGACGCCAATCTTCTGCACGTGAAAGTGACTCGGTCCGTGAACACGGTCTCAGTATGCAACTCCAGCGACGATGGATCATCGACATCCTCTCTCACGTCGCTGCTAGACCGTTGTCAGAATGTACATCGTCGGGTTGCGTCGAATCTCACGGATTTAACCAACGCTTTGGAAGGCGATAAGGACGCAGAAGAATGCCACAGTAGATTACTAACCGATGAAGTGGATAAAGAAAGTAGACACCTTTGGTATTTGACGACATCTGAATGAACTTGCTTTCAGACGAAGCTGGAACGTACGACAGTAGTGAGTTTACGTCAAAGTTACAACCGTCCCGAAAAGTATTTTCATCTTATCTTCTGCTTGCTTGACTGAACGGCTGCTTATATATATTTTAGAGGAAGCTGGAACAAAGAGCAAAGGATGAACTTTCCCTTCCAAGTAAGCGACGTAATATTCTTGCTTTATCCTTTAATAACTTCATTCGAGTTCACCGTTCTGTAGATCAGTTCAGTTGATAGAGTACCTGACTTGCAGTGAAGTAGAGGGTCAGATTCAAAACCGAGTCGAATCATTCCCATTTTATCCTTTTAAGATAGATTAATAATTTTCATTTTGCGCTATGGAAACATAAATTTCCACAATTCTGGTATCGCCGACCTGTGGAAATGTACTGGAAACACGACAGCAGTGCTCTCCTGACTGGTGGCGACATTTACAGGAATTTGTTCCCAATCAAAAGCTTGAGAAAATAGGAGTGCCACAAATGGCGTCCAATCCGGAAAGTGTTAAGGTGGCAAAGACACATCTCAACAGTTTCAAGCTTTTCTTTTTCTGAACTGCCAGTCAAAAATTTGCGGATTCGAATCTTGATCGCATCATTCACCTTCAATTTTTGCTCTATAAATAATTAATTGCTAAAATCTTCAAATGGTTATATCAGCATATAAATTTTATTAAACAACATTATTCATTAAATAACATTATTCAGGTGTGCCAGTTAATGCTTAAAATATATCGATTCCAGATCGTAAGGGCGAAAAATGTTGTGTAAAGAAAGAAGAATTCATTTCTTGAAATGATCTTAAGACGTAAATAGATCACGAGTCGTTAATGCGTACTGTAGTTCATCTAACAGATTTAAATTCAATTCAGGCTTAATATTCGTGACTAATTCTTTTATTGCTTTCGTCCAGATTGATGACAAGTTCTAGTCGTTGTTCCGTTCGAATTCGCATATTTGCATCAAGAGCACTTCCGCTCTTGGTAGTCTTTTTATCGTACCATGCCATGCCATACCTGTTTCACCTCGTGTTCATTGTGCCATGTCCGTTTCTCCAACATGCGTAGATAGGATAGTATGAATCTGAGCTTTGTCTTCTTCATGGTTTTTACATGAATAAGCTGGCTGCGAAGGTTAACATCAGACTTGTAGATTAACTGTAAACCAGGTTTAGAAGTTTTTCTTCACAGCTTCATATGGCGATCATGTTCCAGCTTTGATGTTCCACTTTTTCACCGGTTTTACTTGGTTCTGTCGTCTTCCTTGCGTTTTGATCGTTTCATTCTCGAGTTTTGCCGGATAACCGCTCATCCTTAAACTGTTAAAACTGTGCCACACTTCTTTTGCCATGCGCATTGTTAAAATGTTAAGAATGCTTCTTTTAATGCTGTGAGGATAGTTGGAGTTATTGGACAGGGAACAACTTGCCTGGGTCGACTCGTAGTATACGTATGTGATGTAAATTAGATAATTTATATGCATCGCTGGTTATAACGTCGACTTCAGGTTCAAGGGCAGCAAAAAGTCGATTACCCTTACCTCATGGGAACTGATAAAACTGCAAACGCTATTATGAACATGGCAGGGGACCAAAATTTCAATTTTTAAATAGTCTTATTTTTTTATCTTCCTTCAAAAATTGAAAACTACGTAGAAACGGCCTCCTGTTACACAACTAAACGGTGGTCTGTCGAGTAATTGACCGATTTCAACGTTTCGGTCTGTGTCTCACATGAATTCTTCGCGGCAGTAATGACAGAGTTTGGTGATTGTTTCAGGAAAAGGGAAGGGGGGGGGTGCGTCCGTAACAGGTGTTAAGTTTGGAGCCGAAAGCCTTCGAAGCAGTTTTTGTACTGTTGCCAGTACAAATGATTGGCATACGCGTAATTTCCCAAAGTTAGGCTTTGCTCCCCATTGATTCTAGACCTCTAGGAGACTGTTTACGGTAGCCACTGTTCCCTGGTATTTCAGCCATAGATGGCGACAGTAATGCTGTTTACCCTTTTCGTAGAGGATGGTAGATGATGGGAAGAGTACATAGATGCATTTCGTTTCATTTTATTGGCGAAAGCATCTTGCTACCTCTTAATGATTTTGCAGTAGTAGATAGATACCCTTGTCGCCATGAATG